TTATATAATATAATAAAGAACAGAAGCGAACTTTTTTTACTTCATCATTTTATTTCCCACTACAAATCTGTTTCGTATGATCAGCGAAGCTGACCACACTCATCAGGTGGTATCCTATGTGCAATGATCCTACTTTTAATTATGCTGAACGTTTATCCCTCCTCCAGATTCCACTTATCTCTGACCGTGATAAATACCTCCTTCTTTCTTTGGTATTGTCTTGCTTAAACAAAAAAAATATGATTTTGAACCAAATCTTCTTCATGTTGTTAATAGGGCCTAACCGTCATCTGTCTGATTTTAGATTTAAGATCAAATTTGCTAGAACCAATTTTTATAAATTTACTGTTTCTAATTATTTTCGTTATTTATGGAACGACCTCCAAATATTAGGGAATTTGCAATTAATTCCACAAAATTTTATTATATAATTAAGCAATATTTTTAAAATTAAATCATTTTAAATTAATTAAATTATATTTTTACCTTAACGAAATTGTAATTCTCTTTGTAATATTTTTATTAACTTTTTATATTGTACATATATGAATTTTGAATTTTTGAGATTTTAATGTTTGTCTTTTTAATGTTTTGGAGAGCCTTTAGATAGTGATTAAGTTCGCTTTTAGGTAATCCTCGGGCTTTGTTTTTGTTATTTGTTTCTCTTATCTACTGTACTGTATTATCTTGCCTGGAAATAAATAAAATAAAATAAATATTAATTAATTTGGCCAAAAAACCCATAAAAAATAAGTTCTTTTTTGGTCCTTTTTGGGTCACAACATTAATATAATGTCTTATAACACACAGCATTTGATAGATAAGTTTAAATGCTTTCTTATGATACTAAATATTTTCAAATTGAATCGTTTATTAATGTACCAAATCAAATCAAATCAAATCAAATTCACTTTATTGCAATCTGACAAGATATCTAGACCAAATTGAAGTTTAACAATAATTGCAAAAAATATACACAGATAAAAGCTCAACAATTACATAAAAATAAGTTAAAACAGTAAAAATCACCAAAAGATATATTGATATAAAAATAATAGCTTCCAAATACCATTTTGGGGTTAAAAAAAATGTAAAATTTGCCATTTTTGCGGGTGATAACTTTTGACACACTATAACTCCAAAATACAAAATGGATAATGTCTGAAATTTTTATAGGTGTGTTATTTTGTATGTCGTCAGTTTTTGAAAAAGTATCAGGTAAAAAGAGGATTAGCTTATCATTTTTCGCATTTATTTAAGAAAATATGTATTGTTAATTTTAGCGAAACTAAAATCTTTTTTTTTTAAAAATAATTTTAAGGTCACAAAATTAATATAATGTGTCATCCTATACATCATCTGATAAATAATTTAATAGCTTTTGTATGACACCAAATATATTTAAATTAAATCTTCCAATGATGGACTACCTTCAAAATACCATTTTGAGGTAAAAACGTGTAAAATTTGTATTTAAAAAAAAAAATCAAATTTGGCACAAAAATCTAAAATTCAGCGTGATAACAGCCCATTCTGTGTAAGCCAAGGCCTGGTGATGAGAATTCAACAGTTTTTGAGAAAGTATTACACAAAAAGATTTTTAGCAATGATAATAACTGTAATATAGTATTAATATATATTACTATGTACATAATATAAAGTATATACATACATAATAATAATGTATGTATACTGTTTTCTGCGAGCATAAGCTCCTTCATCTTGTTATTTTTAATGTTATCGTCCCTGCTTTGTTATTATTATTATTATTATTAATATTATTATTATTATTGTTATTATTATTATTATTATTATTATTATTAGGCCCTATTATTACACTATTTATTATTGTCTATTATTTATTATTTTCTATTGTTTTCATTATATTTATCATTTCAGCATTTTAATTATTTTCATTATTGACCATTGTTTTTGTTTTGAATTTTTTCTTCCACACGTTTTTCCGATCTCACCAGTACTTTAGTCACTTTCCTTGCTTGGGTCTTTCCCAAACTTTGTCCGACATTATACCAAAGCTGTGTCGCATAAAATTTAGTAAAAATCTGGAGTGGGGTGTGGATGTAAGGACCAATTAAGCTGATTTAAAGGCAAACACCCCACATCAGATATTCAAAAACATATAAACTGATCTGAATTAAACTTTCGGGAAAGTTTAGCCAAGTTACAAGGAAGTAATAGCTTATTATTATGTTTTGTTGACGATATAGATTCAGTGTAAAACTGAGGGCCATTTAAATGGCTAACGTCCCAGACCTAAATATCGAAATGAAACTTCCCAGAGTAGTTTGTTATGGTTCATTAAGGAACAGATTCAATTTTGGTGATGATCCGAAATAAGGTGTGGACATGTGGATCATTTAAAGGGAAACGTCCCAGACCAGATATCCCAGAAATGCATCAACTGATCTGAATGAAACTTTCTGAAAAGTTTAACAAAGTTACCGTATGAGGAAGAAATGAATACATTTTGGTGACGATCCAGATTCGGATGTGAATGTGAGGGTCATTCAAAGTGCTAACCTCCCAGACTTAAATACCTCCAAAACTTATCAATTTTCGGATATAAATGAAACTTTCCAGAATACTTTGCCATGTTCCAATGAAGAATTTATTAAATTTTGATGTGGATAGGATATCTGGAGAATATTAGTGGACGGGTGCTTAAACGCAAGTTGTGTTTTATAAAACGTTTAAACCAGCTGCAAGTAGGTTAAACGTACAGTTTCTGTGAAATGGAATAAGAATTTTCGCTCTCAATCACTGAATTACCAAGATATTACTGAAAGTAGGAATGTAGATGAACTAAAAATTCACTGACCTATGCACTATGCAGGGTCGGCTCATAAGCGCGCAATGGTTATGAATCTCCATATCACCCTCACTTTTACCATTGCAGTTATAGTTCGAGTCTCACCAACGTAGCTTTAGACATGGAGTTGGTCTTTGTGTTTTCCTCCCATAATTTTCTTTAGTAATTTTTTTTTCGTGTGTTTTTTAAAAATTTATACTTGCTTAATGACTTTTTTTTTTGCAATTTCAACATAATTTCTCATTAAGGCAATGATGAAAACCCTATGTTCTGTTGTACAGACATAGTAAGTCTAGTTGTTACTTTTATTTGTTGCCTATTATTATTAATTCTATTATTAATATTAAACCTATTATTATTATTATTTTATTAGGGCCTATTATTATTATAAAGGACAATGAACTGCAACTAAGTTAATCTTACGTATTCCATTTTTTCTGCAGGCCCAGCAGGGAAGTGGCCAAGGCCACCAACCTGCGGTTAATGTCGCTCAGCAAGTTGCACCCCAGTCCAGCGGTCAAGATTTTAGAAAAGAACATTATTACTGATTTCTAGCTGCCTGCGGGACCCGCGGTTTGGGAATACTGGAATTAGCTATTTTGTTGACATAATATAAAAAAAAAAATGCATTATAATTTCTTTACTTGAGTGTATACATGACTAGACCATATTGTTATTCATACCCAATGAAACTATGGTTTTTTACAACGTACTTTAAACCTTTAATTATTTCAACATTGTTATCACAATTCAAAAATATAATGCAAATTAACATTTTGCCAATTAATAATACAAGAACCCCTAATAAAGAGACACCTCCCTGACCAAGATAGACTGTAGACACTAACCAAAACATGAAATTGTCGGGAAAAAAATAAGTTACACATTTTGAACAGTAATTTAAAAAAACAAAACAAAAACACATAAAATACATTATATAAATACACAAATATGATAAAAACATTATTGCTTTTAGGAATGATATTTTGACCTACCTGACGTGTTATCGTACTAAATGCTCAGTACGTTCCTAGTACTTGCGAATAAAATCTCTCAAGTGATCCGAGTGGGAACCGAACCCCTGACCTCCAGCTAACTAGCCTGGTGTCTCATAGCTTTTATTGCTTCATTATTAATGTTTTACAATAATGAACACAATATTGGATGCACAAGATAACATAAACAAACATTGAGAAATCAAGGTGCGGGTTTTGTATACTGAAATTCTTTACGAAAACATCTGTATTTATGGAGACAAGGAAGATCATGGCTAAGGCAAATGTTGACAGACAATGGCTTATACGAAGTGATGATCCACAAGGGATAAAGGCCCAACTGCAATGTGGGTTTAAAAACAGTAGTTTAAAAGACAACACACAGATAGGCCTCAACCGACATCTATTTTAAGGATCAAGAACAATTATTCTGATTTAAATGTTTATGACTCATAAGGCTTATAATTAGTATATTATTGTTTTGCATATTTACTGTAATGTTGATAAAAAATGTCCCTAAATAGGGAGGAGGCGTGTGATTAGTCCTTCGATGATTATGATGCTAATGATAGTATAATTTACTTTTTTGATGACTTTTTTGTTGCAATTTCAACATCACTTCTCATTATGGCAATGAGGAAAATCCCTATGTTCTGTTGTACAAACAGACATGTAAGTCCAGTTGTTATTTTTATGCCGTTATTATTATGTTTGAAGGTTTGCACAGCAAAGTAATAACATACATGTTTAAGCTTGCGGTACACCACGTAGGTAGTGAGAACTGTTGTAGTTGAGAAAGTCTCGACGTTTCGACTGAGTTGCTTAAATCGCCTTCAGGAGAGAATAATATCTGCAGAAATTCCAAACAGAGGAAATACTTGTTTTTGTAGAGATGATGGCTGCTATTGGATGAATAAACTGACCAATGAGAAGACTGTTAGTGAAATGCTAAAACAAATCCATTCAATTTCACTGAGAGAAAGGGTGGGAACGCCCAAACAAAGGCTTAGTTCCAGTGGCGGGAAACGGGGTGGGAACAATCAAATATATTCAGTTTAAGTTCAACATTCGAAAACATTTACAGCAGTTTAAATATAAAAAAATAGGTCTACTTACCTTCTATCTCTGAATGTCCCTCTCTGGAACCTCTATTTCGAATTCCTAGATCCGCTAATGTTAATGTACTTCATTAAGTTTTCATAAATTATAGTGTTGTACATCACAAGGACTATTTATTATATTATAATACTATATTACAAGTTTTGTGGTAATTACAATAGTTTAAATTTAGTTGATGTTTGAATTGACGACGGTACTTCTCTTCAAAATACATCTGTGAAGAAAACAAAATAATAATACCGTATTCATTCGAATAACGTCCCGCTTTGAATAAATAACCCCGAATAAACGCTGCCTAGTCTCATTTGGAATAAACACCTTCTGTGAATAAACGAACCCTAAATGACAGTAAACAAATCTAATGGAAGCAACATCATTGTCAACACATTCTATTAATGTTTTACCCCAGTAGATTTAATTGTTTTCTAAGGTTAGAATCAATCTTTATGATCACGCCATATTGCACTGTTATGTGGTGTATGGTTCAACATTTATAATGTATAATCAAGGAGCGGATATTTTATTGTCCATATTAAACCCTAAAAATAAACGCCTCCCTTGAATAAGCTCCTCCTTCGAATCATAGAGATACTATAGTCTGCTATAATACCTCAGTGCTGGTATAAATAACCTTCAAAACAATAAACGCCCGGGACGTTTATTTGAATAAAACCTATGTATCTGAGTATCTGACAAAAATAGGACAGTGCTGAAGACGTCACAATAAAGCTGGCAAAATAAGGTACAGGTAATTTGAGGTGATTTTTACTACTTAAGCGTGATTTTTGGTGTTGGGGGGGGGGGGGGGCAAGTACTTTTTGGGGAAACGGCGGCGGAACTTTTTTGAAGTTGGGGGGTGGGGGGATTTCATAAGGTTCAGTATGCGAGCGAAGCTAGCATCTATGCTGGGGTAGGGCTGTGAAGGGCTGGTGGGGGTCCAGGGGGCGAAGCTATAGATATTTCACGAAGTTTGGTGAATTTTATTAGTTATTTTATAAGCATCAAGCTACTGTAGTATGACTTCACAATTGTTTGTTAATTTGCAGTGGCGGATCCAGGCGGGGGAGGGGGGTGGTAACTTTAAAAGATAGAGGATCTATAATACTACTCAGCTCCACCATGGTAGGGGGCTGAGGTAAGGAAATTTGTGATTATGGCACCTCTAGAGGGCCGGAAATTTAACTCTCAGACTTAAAATTTTAATATAATTTTCTTTATATTTCCATTAAAAAATTAAACAATTTAGGGCCCCCTTGAACCCGCCACTGATTTTAACGAACAAAGCCGAAGTCAAGACTGCTTCAACGATGTCAATGAATTATTTATCATGAGGGGTATCTTTGATGACGAAACCTTCACTTTTCCCCTGAGGGATATACCCTTCTACAATAGCCCGGAAATACTGGAGATACTCCGACTGTGGCGGGTCCAGAAATTGAGGGGACCCAGTGAGGGCGCAAATAGAACAAAATCATGATTATGGCACCTCTAGATGGCCGGAAATAGCACTCTTAGATTGAAAGTTGAATACAATTTTGTCTGTTTCCATTTTTTTTTAATAATTAAAAAAAAATCAGGAGGCTGGTGGCAATGCCGTAGTCAGCTATTGGGACAGTTGGGACAGTCCCACACACTTTTTCTAAAAGTGGGTCCACATTTTTAAAAATGGGTCCAAATTATGTAATTTTATGCATAAAATGGGTCCACTTTTTGAAAAATGTGTCCAGATTTTTCATATTTTTGCGTAAAATGGACCCACATTGTTTGATTTTATGCGTAAAGTGGGTCCATCCTGATATTGTCCCACACAATTTGAAAATCCTGGCTACGGCATTGGTTGGGGGCCAGTGCTGACTGGGCTCCCCCTTGAATCCACCACTGTTCAATATAACACTTGACATAGCCTATCACTTTTGTTTCACAAATGAATAATACCTAATGTCAAGCGAAAGAGTTTTTGTTATTCAAAAAATTTTTGCCAACCTACAGTGTACTGCAAATTCTAACCTTTGGCCCCCGCTTCGCCGCCGTTGTTTGGGAGTGTGACCACCCGCACACCGCTAGTACGCCCACTGTTTCTTTCCCAACCTAACACTCGGAGCAAAATATTACATTTGCAGATAAAACACATGTTATTTCTTTCGCTTTCGGATTTCACAGTGATTTCCATACAGGCAGCTACGCTTGAGATAAGTGGTGGCGCCGGAAGGGGATGGGGGGGGGGGGCTGGCCCCGTCGTCGACACCATAACGAGGTCGTCTGACCAATAATAATAGGCCCTAATTTTCCTATCCAAATAACGTTATTTTGATTACCAATCCCTAATATTGTTAAGCACAAGGCCTGTAAAAACTCTCTTCGTGTAACATCAATCTGTATCATGGAGTGTATTAACTGGTAATAATCACCTGAACTATTGTATAACCACCAAGCAGGTTTTAAATTTATTTGGTTGCTTTGAAAATTATGTACTGGAACAGTGTATACAATAGGCCTATAACAAAAAAATCCATGCTATCTTGAAAAGAAGCCAATTAAGGGTCTTTTTTTTTCGAGATGGGATTCTTTTCGAGGCTACTTTTGCAAGCTAAAATGGGTTGAGGGTGGGCGCTTCAATTCGAGATGGACTTCTTCTCGAGATTAAGCCCATTGGGCTAATTCGAGGTTTTACAGTATGACAGGTTTAGGAGTTTCAAACACCTTTAATCGATTTTAGAATATACTAATATATAGAAAATAGGCCTACATATATTTTTTTTTTCTCCAGCTCTTCCTAACGGCCTCCCCATCCACACTGGCGCCACCCCTGGATTCCCTGAGGAGATGGGCCTATTCACGTCACTCAAAATCTCCTCAAGCGATCAATGATTTGAGAGTTTACTAATATGTAGAAAATATATATATGTTTTTCTTCTCTCCGACGAAGTGTATTTTGCTACCGGAATGGGGAAGGGGGGGAAAGGTCTCCCCAACGGAGTGCCCTACTGGTGCCACTCCATGTGATTCAAAGAAAACAACAATGTGAAAGCCATATTGAGTGGTTTTATCAATTATCCATTATTCAATTAAAATTGAATCATATCTATTTCCTATATATGTATTATTCAATTCAATTCTGAATTCAATTCAAATATTTATTTACTAACAAACTAACTGGGAGGTCTTCCTTTAAAATATTAATGGCCGTATTCGACTGTTCGGTCTTTGTTAAACCACGCCCACCTGCGCAGTAAAATCCTACTGAACGAAGACGACCAGTCGAATAGAAAACTTTTATAAATACTCGACAAAACAAAATGGCTGCACAGTTACCGCGATACACGCTGTGTAATCAAGATTGCTTCAGCTTGTGGCAGTATGGGTTTTTCGTAAAAAAATATTTTCATCCAGTTTTTGAATTCTGTTATCCTACAATTATTTTTTGACTTCATGTGTGTAAATATTATAATTCTATTTTCTGAAATTTAATCTAAGTTATATTAACGCAAATGTTGTTTCTAAACTCACCAATCGGCCGTGTTTGTTTTAGTCACGTGAACCACTCTGGTTTACGTTAATTTTCGTTGTCAACGAAGTCTATTATCGGAGCCAGTCGAATGAAAATAATACTCAACGAAAATTCGTAGTCAACGAAATGAACCAGTCGAATACGCCCAATATGCGCGCGAGTGCGCCGGTACCGGAGAAAAGTAATATGTCATTGCGCATGCTTCGTGAACTCAGTGTTATTATTTAAAGGTCAATGTAAAAATGGCAACTTTTAAGAACAGCGATAGCACCGGGCTTTGGCTTCATAACAAGCTAGGGGACGAAGACTTGTGGTCAGGTATAAGTGGAATTTGCTCTCATTTAGGCAGTAAGGAGGTTATTCAAAATGTTCAGGCATGTTTTATGACATTAACACCAACGGTTAAACTGAAGTTACTAATGGCGTTTCTTCATATACCAAGAAGAGTTGTTCTGGAGGTAAGTCAAAAGTCGGCGCGGGACAGACGACATATCGTTAGGAAGTCAAATAATCACTAGACGAGTAGTACCGACACCTTTAAGGCTGGCTATTATAAGCCTAGCCTAATATTAATCGGTAATTTAAAGCTGTAACACAAATATTTGACTGTAGTGAAGAAGGTGTTTTAAATTTTTGCAGTAGGGTAAAAAAATTCGAAGTATCTATGCTTACGCCGAGTCGTAAGCATTAGTTATAGGCTATGCTTACGCCGATCTATTGAGCATGCGCAGGGGTGGCGTAAGCATTATTTCGAGGCTATGCTTACGCCGATCTATTACAGAGCATGCACAGGGCCGGCGTAAGCATTATATAGTGGCTATGCTTACGCCGGATTGCTAGTCAACGTAAATAGTCAACTCATTGATCTGCTTACTATTTCACGTTGTCGAGGCATGAGCTTTGTCTAGTCCACAGTTTTCCAAAAGAACAGGCATCGTCATGAACTGAGGTGGACATATTAGTACATTCCCACTCGAGGACCCAATTCTAGCTTACCTAGACTCTAGTTTCTGTAGCACTTGCCTATTTAGCCTGCCTTAATTCACTTTACTCAAGTATTCCATTCATCCTTGTGTAAAAATATTTGACCTGTGCCAAGCTCTTGTACTTTCCTCATGAGTGCCGTCTGTTTATTGTGATAATGTACTTCATTGTTAGATAGGCCTATCTAGCCCAATTTATGTTGATATTGATACAATACTATATCTGAAATAATAATGACAATGTATCTATGTATGATGTGTAGAATGTTGGAGATGACCTGCCTGCTGCAGTGATATTCTGATTTTAAATCATTGTCCTGTACATTACAGTACATAATTAAAAAGCGAAATCAAAAACAAGAATTTCCCCTAGGGTGGTCTTATCTCGATCCCTCACCCCGACCTTTCCAACATCTCTTGATCCGTGTCCCTATAAAATTCTTAATTTTCCTATTATGAACAAGTACGCATACAATAATTACAAGAGAGCGTGACACAGTTTCAATCCAATTTTGTTATTAATATTCAAAAACACTGTACTGTAGTATATTTCGGTTTAAGCACCAAGGTTTTTAACAACTGAAATGTTTGAAAGGAAACTCTCTTAAAAAATAACTTTCTTTTTCTCTACTAACTGATTCGATGTGCAACAACTGTACCACGAAAATACTGACCAATGGGCTGTCTCTTATACTAACATGGTGAGAACCATGAATGCAGGCGTAATCGATTGAATAGAATTTTAATTCGGGGTTGAAGTTTCTTTTAGGTGCACGTTTTTTTGGCAGAATCGATGCTACGTGAAGATCGTTTATATAAATTAATGTGATTTTCTTTCTCCCAATTCGTTACAGCTTCTGACAATTTTTCATACAGTAGCTTGTGAAAGTGCCACCGAGACGCAAAGTGTGTCTTCATCTGCCATCTTGAAACTTCACCAAGTGTGCGCTACAGAAAAAAAAAATACTTGCACATGCTCAATAGGACGTTTTCGTACTCACGAAGCAAGCGGCGCCCTTCAAATAGATCGGCGTAAACATAGCCTATGATTAATGCTTACGACTCGGTGTAAGCATAGACACTTCGAAAAAAATTAGTACACCTGCGTAGGCCTAGCTAGAGGCCTACCTTTCCAATCTTTACAATCTTTTGAAAAATTATTTAGGCATGCAGCCCATTGTGGCGCTAATGAACTTTCTCACCTAACTTTTAATTCTTAATTTTTTTACCTTAATTTTCTTCTCACAGTCACAACACCTAATAATAATAATTATAATATTATAATTATAATTATTAGTTTTACATGATTCAACTACTCACAGTACATTGTACAATATAAAGTAAATTTTTCAACAAAAAAATACCTTTATAAATACAGGTTGATACAGGGTTTCCGCTCTTGCTAGCATGCTGTACTATTTTGCATTCAAGTAAGAAATTGCCAGAATGTCCGAGTCAATTCTTAAATTTTGAAACCATTAAATGCCAGTCTTATAATTTTAATCAGAATTTTCCAAGGAAACATCCGACAACAAAATGTGGCATCATGCAGTACCATCTTTTTTAACTTTCTTGTCGTAATCGAACCAACGTTTATCATTGGCTTTGGTAGTTGTTTTGCTGGATTAGGCGTAGGCCCTATTTTGTATCTGTGTACGCATTCGGATTATTACTAATTTTTGAAGTAATTATTGTACGTGTGAATTTCATGTGAATACACATAGTCAAACAACAACACCATACAATACATAACTTAAATGACATATGAACGCAAATAGATAAGTTTTCATAAACGTTTAATCAAAAAACTTCACGCTGCAAACTCAGACATTCTGGCAATTTCTTACTGATTGCAAAATGGCAGCCACTCGTCGTGCAAGCGAGCACAGATTCGCTGTAGGCCTACTTACTTGTGGGCTTATTTGTTGATAAAGGTACTTTGTGAGTGGTTGAATCATGTAAACATGTTTGTTAATTGACATGTCGACAAGGACGCGAAGCCCCGCCCACAAAGTCACGGAAACCTTGGACAATGGCGGCTAGACTTACCGAGTTGGCGAACATTTTCTTTGCTATCAACCTTCTTTAAGAAAGAGAATTCAGGGTAGGCGGTATGCAAATGAATCATATATTCATAGTGTTAAGCTATTTCATGAAACAGGCGGGGAAATTGTTGTAAAAGCCTCTGTATTTTGCTCCCTCGTTGTCGGCAAAGGCCAAGTCACTGATGCACACTGCTCGTGCAAATCTGGGTATCCATAACCAAGCATAGACATTTAGGCCTAGGCTCACGGATGTTTCGCGTTGACAACCAGCTGTTGTTCAGCCTAGTTCAGACTAGGTGGATAAACCCGGCTCAACTCACTGGGTTTATCCACCTGCCAGTCTGAACTAGGTGGCTTATCTCAAGCCGGGCTGTGTTCCTATAGTAACTAGGCCTGGCGCGCCACCGTGTTTAACTTTTCTAAGTCGGGCTTTAATCGTTGCGGGGGGTCTTGCTTTGACTTTGAAACACGTTTCCTGGTTACGGTTCATTATTATGCAAATTTTCGCCTGGCTAAACCCGCTAGTCTGAACGCCCGGCAAAGTTAAGCTGGGCTTAACTCAAGCTTTGCTAATCTCCAAGTCTGAACGTAGGAAGTTTAAGGAAATTAAAATGTCCGAGAAAAAGTTTTTGATCACATGACTAAATGACGCTCGCTGATTAGTCGGTTTATCTGTCAATCAAATCTCGTCGAGATGTTAATTATATGTTGTGATTGTGGGAAGAACATTGAGGTAAAAATATTAAGAATTAAAAGTTAGGTGCAAAAGTGCATTAGCGTCGCCCATTGTTTTGACAGCACAAGGAAGATTTGGAAGATATTCTTCGACTGGCCTTACATGATACTGACCAATGGGTGTGTATGACTGCTGACCTTTTAAGAACCTTTCCTCAGAATGGTCAAATTAATTTGAATGTGGAAGAGAATCATCCTGCTTTGGCAGAGGCACTACAGGAACTACGAATCAAATGTAAGTATTGCATATGCCTAAGTGCTGAGTATGTTTTAAATAAAAGTATTAAATACTGTAATGAGTACTAACAATATTAGAATTGAGGTGAAATGTTACTGAATGCTTTGATTTTTCTCCCATATCTCTGATACTGTATATAAATAATGGGTGGGCATAAAAATCAGTTGGAGGGCCACACCCAAACTTTGATGTTTAGAGTGTCAGTGCTCCAGAAACCTTCATTCATGCTCTGCTTTTCAGGCTGCTGCTTTTATACCACCAGATACCACTTTATTCTCAGTTTTAATATTACTGTACTTTTTACAGATGATCAGTGTCGGGCTGTAAAAAACAAGGTGTTTTCTAGTCAAAAATGTTTGGTGGGCTGCACACATAATAGGGTTTTCAATTTACTTTTGCGGCCGTAAAATGTCGCTGTCAAGCTGCATGCGGCCCGCAGGCCACACTTTTTCCACCTGTGCTGTATATCTATCATTGAGCCTTGTATTCAATATCAGTGCCATACTGTTACATTTTTTAATTGTGCGGAAGATACCTCAAAATCCTGCTCAAATTTTTACGGAAAATCGCTAGGAAAATAGGTGCGCAGTATTGTAGTAACTGCATAATACATTGTTTATTATATTAAGATTAGGTCAAGGTCTAATTTAAGGCAAGTTTTTGCGTGGAGGATATATTCCCCGTGCAGGCCCTTCTATACAGTCTGGTATCAATACAGTGACTCGTGAACTACCGTTCATTTTTTTTACCAGTATCTATAACAGATAGCAATGCACTTTTGCCACTGGAGTGTTTGTATCTGAATCCCAATGCTCTCATACAACTGGTGGGAATGCAGCGTCCTCTGGTGAAGCACTTTGCTTTAAAGCGGAAACCAAAATCAGCAGCTTTGAGGGCCGAGCTTTTACTCAAATGTAAGTTGAATGATAGTGCCTTCCATAAGAAATAAAATGTTAAGATTATTGTTTATTAATTAATAATCAATAATATTGGTACTTAATAGTGTAAACATACCTCGAAAATAAAAGAATAGTCCAAAACTCATTCCTTTGATACAGGGTCATTTAGCCTGACCAGCTAATGTACATTACATATTGGCCAACCATTGTATGACATGACAAGTTTTAAACTATGTTCACCTAATGCAAAGAATCACTTGTAATATGAGTGAGGACAGGCACACACTGCGCTGACTGGACAATACAACTCGTTGTCCGCAATGCATCGTTCTTAATGACAATCCACTTGTCAAGCGCTAACAGATAGTGGAGTAGGATCCACTGACTGTCGTAGAAGAGCTTTATAATTTTTTAATCCTGTTTTCTTAAAACAGCCTCTGATGCTGCCAAGCAACAGAGTAAGTCGGGCGGAACAACTCCTTTTAAAGGTCGTGGTATGACACGCAAAACAGAAGATTTAAGTAAGTATTTGATAGCATCTAAACCCTAATGTTGTCAATCAGTATGTATGTCATAGTTAAAACTATGTGTCTAATACATTGATATATGAAATACAAAATGGCAGAACCCAGGCCTTATGATGGATTAATATATTTTATATTAAAAACAAATTAATGTAATTGATTTCTGACAAAGTATATATATATTATCATTTTAATTATTTTTTAATGGCCAAGTTATATTATTACTAATATGTCATGCCTATGACACTATGTTTATTGCCATTTTGTGATTTGAATTTTAATTATTATTTATCTGTTTTTTTTAACTGATTTTATGTAATTTATAATACTTTTAAAAGCTCCATTGAAAGGCATCCCGAAGGCAACACCTGGATTCCGACCGACGAATGCAGCTAGAAGAAATACTGTGCCACTGAATCGAAATATATCAAGAATGTCCACTGGTGGCAAAGAAAGAGGGACCAAGCTCCTGGACATTACAGAGCAACCGATAGGAGGGGGCCCTGCTGCCAGGCGCAGGAAAAAGCAAGCAGGTTGGTAGTGTATATTATATAAATACTGTATATTCCAGACCCAATAAGGGCAAACAAAAATTCTCAAAGAAACAACAAATCCAAAAAATTGTTGCGTTGCCTGTACACAGTCGCAATTGGAAAGCAGTGTCTGTCCGTTTATTTGTTAATTATGACCATTTTCAATAATAATGATATTAATATGACTTACTGTATGTGGTCCATTGTGTACATGATATTTTATTGCACTGTGGTTATTTAGGAGTTTTTAATAGCAAACTTTAATCACTGTCTTTATAATAAATGGCAAGTTCCTTTTACAAAACAAACATATGAAGGATTGTGTAAGTGTAAGAATTAGGGAATATGGTTGTATTTGGTCAAGGAAAATTCCTGACAGGACCTAGAATTCTGGGATAGGATGACAAACACCTAAACCACCAAGCTACAGCTTCACTCATAAAATGTGTGATGATATTCTTTGCAGAACAAGAGGCGCTTGAAAAAGCTAGGAAGGAAAAAGAGACGGCAGCAACCGCAACAGCGGCACAACCAACGCCGGATTATGCTGCATCACTCTTACCACCTCCGGCCGGCCAAACACGACAGGTAACAAGAAAATTCTCATCTGACTTTTCCATGTTTGTAAATCTAATCTATGAGGAGCCCAGTGGCATAATTTGCTATAGGCAAAAAATGTACAATATCTGTTAACTACCATTTTGTGAGGATGATGCTTTTTGAAAAAACATTTGCCAAGTTTATAAAATCCAAACAGTAGTCGGAGGGTCTTGGGTTCGAATCCTGGTAGGGACATACGTTTTCCTCAAATATTTTTTATTGTCTTTAACTAACACCAGTGGATGTGTATCTTAATACCAAAGTTACTTTTATGTGATTTACTATTATTACGCAATACCTTGAGAAAATATGTGTCCTAATGGGAAAATCCAAGGGTGTATACCACCTGGCATCATAGCTCAGATGGCAATCGCAAGGTCTTGGGTTTGAATCCTGAGGGGGACATAAGGTTTTCTAAATATTTATGATAATCATCACCTAACCTTTTTCATATCCTTGAGTAGGTTTGTTTATAAATAATTCTTTCATTAGATAAAAAATACTACTGTTTTAATATTATTTTATTACCCAAACCTTTCAATTTTCATTTAGCCTGCAATGGTCGAATCCACAATAGCGGAGGCAGCACATACTGCGGCTGCTCCATCTTACGTACCAAACCTCAACATCAACGTAGCCAGACCACAAGGTGCAAGTGCTCCTCTATTCTCGACAACACTTGGAACTGGTATGTTGAGGATGACAGTATAGCTCAGTTGCCTATATGTGTGTTTATGGATAGTAACCACAGCAGATGTGGGGCTTTGATGCAATGTCACCCAGCTCCGCCTGGTTCCTCAATTTATAGTTTTAAAATGCATGTTATTTTAAAAGCAGTGTAAACGTCAAATGTTTCCAGAAGAGTAAATGACGACCAGGTACCTTGCACATTGGATGGAAAAACACAAGTAACATGATAACTCTAAAACTGTTGTAGCAGAAGGGGTGGTCAAGCTGTGGGTCATTTGTTCTGTCTGTCTACTGGTTAGAGATCAAAAATTCTTGCAAAATTAGGTTCCTTACATAAAAATCTAGAACATTTGTGATATCAGCACCACTTCAGTGTACATTCTGAAAGTGTATACAGTACAATTAAATAGCAGTGATGTTAGTAGTCTATAATTCAGATATTTAACTGGATAAACTGCCTATTGCCATTGTTCATGTAATTAGAACACCCATAAAAAAAGCAGAACCTTCTGTAACAGGGCATTATATAATGTGCATCCTGATTCCTGTATTGCCTTTACAATGAGGAACACTATTGAAGATAGATATACCGAAAGATTTGAAAAAGATTTGATAGAATTCATACAGTGCTGAAAAAAGTCCCAAGGCATTGTGATTTTCCTTTGAGACATAAAAAAAAAAGTTTTTATTCTCTTTACAGGTCCTTCACAGTCATTTTCATTGTCTGCCAGAGAAAACTTATCTCAGCAAATTCAACAACAGTTGCAGCAACAACAGCCACAGTATAGTGCTCCGACATACACACCTCAGCAGCAACCTCATATACCACAAGAAGAAGTAAAACAACCAGCCCAACCGGCCCACCCTCCTCCCTACCATCAGGCTGGTGTACCTTCTGTACCTACTCCAACACCTCAAGCCAGTACCACTCCCGTTGCTCCACCAAGTGCTGCACCTAAGAAAGGACTCTCTCTAACGGTAAATGTTGCCATAATTATATTTTCATCCATGTTTAATTAAATTTCTCAAATAAATAAGAATGATATAAGTTATTTAATAGTATTACAGTACTTATATAATTAAGTATGCATACTTGTCCAACTCTGCTATAACAACAAAAATCACAGTCTCTAACGGTAAATGTTGCCATAATTATATTTTCATCCATGTTTAATTAAAGTTTGTCAAATAAATAAGAATGATAATGGTGTGCAACAACAAACTGGTGAATAATGTTTATCCCAGTGAGAATGATATAAGTAATTATTTAATAGTATTACTTATTATATAATTAAGTATGCATAAATCCCCACTAACAAAAAAAAATTACAATTTTGTTGATTTCTTGATATATAATTGATTACTTTTTCAGAGGGACCAAATGTTAGCAGCTCAGGAGATGTTTCGACAGTCAAATAAGGTCACAAGACCTGAAAAAGCCCTCATTCTGGGTTTCATGGCAGGCTCAAGGGGTATGTTTAGCACCGGATTTTACAGCTTATATTCAACAAGAGGGCCACACCTAATCACCGAGTGGAAAATGCTTTTAATGACCAAACCAATATATACCATGAACAAAGTGTAAAAATCATTTTAGTCGGCAGACTATATGGAATGAAGGAGATGGATTCTAACCAGAATGGCCCTTTCTTCTAAAACACAGGTGGCCTGCGGGCCACATGCGGGCAGACAGTGATTTTTTTTATGCGGCCCGGAAAAATGAATTAAAACCCCTATGTGTGCTGCCTGCTGAACATTATTGGCCAGAAAACACCTTGTTTTTTTACAGCCCAACGCCGATCATCTGTAAAAAAAAATAAATATACTGAGAATAAAGTGGTATAAAAGAATGCATGAATGTATTTGAAAGCACACTAAAAACATCAAAGTTTAGGTGTGACTTTCGATGTTAAATCTAAAATTAAATTTGGCCCTCTGACAAATATTTTGTCCACCCCTAGCTAAGAACTGCCCATTGATATTGCCCACAAAATGACAGCGTAAGCCATGTCCCCCAAAACACACATTTGTTGGACAAGTGTATATTCCTTGCCTAATTGTGATTGGTACTCTGCAAAAGGTCCATTGGAAGAAAAGCGTCTTAACCACCATGTTACTGTGCCAGACAGGGTCCTAAGTTAGGAGGAGCCACTATAAGCCTGGTTATAACAAGAGACCTAGTATCCGGATCGGGAGTTAACCGTTAGCACCTGTGTGAGAACGATGGATCGGTTAGCGGTATCCGGATACTGCTAATGGTTAGCAAGCGCTATTGGTTAGCAAGTTGAGCGCGTTTTTATCATCAACCAATCCCACGTACGTGTTTACAATTTCTTATTGGCTAATGATTCGATCATCATATTCTTGGTATCCGGATTGGGATCTTCTCATATGGGCGCACGGCAGCTAACGGTTAGCAGGATCCGAATTCTGCTAACCTCAGGGAGATAAGTTTGAATGACGTATCTTAACACGTGACTGGCTCTGGCAAATTTATATAACAGTATTGTTTTGTTCTGTTTGTTGTTGCAGAGAATCCGTGTCCTCAGCAGGGTGATTCAATGACAATCAAACTGAGCGAAGAGACAGAAATGGTTGCAAAAACAGACGGATCTGGAGAGGAGCAGTTGATGATGGCAGACACGTTCTTCCAGATGAATTATGCTTCAGGAGAGTGGCGTCGATTCAAGCGTTACAAGCCTCTGCAGTAGACAAAATTGAAATGAACATTTGGTCTACGAGCTACAGCCTCTGCAGTAGACAAATAACATTTTTATGAAGAGCTTTGCAATTTCGTAGTAAAAAAAAGTGGCATGGTTGAAGGGTTACAAAATCTCTGACCTAGACACTGTGGTACACTGCAAGCCTCAGTAATAGGGAAAACAGCATGAATTTAGATGCCACAACACTTTATTAAAACAGATTAAACAATTCAAAGCTAAATCAAAGGTCCTAGACCCTTAGTGGGTGCAGTGAGTTGGCCCTCTCTACCCAGTAGTATAAATGGGTTCCTGCATATATGCTGGTAAGGTAAAGAGATGCCCAGTCTTGCCCTACGACTGTAATTACCTCTCCACTATCAATTACACGCTTGAAAATAAAATAAAGTAGACGTAAAATAACATACATAATATCTGATACTTATTTATTTGTTATTTTGATATCAACAACGATGATATGCAATGCATGTAATCAAAGATACTTTGGATATACTGTAGTTTGTTGCGTTGGCAGGCGTGTTGGCTAACCTGTACTTACTCATACCCAATTTGGCGTAATAATAAAATAAAATCTAATATTAAATACTTATTACATATTGTATTACAATTGTCTACCAAAAGGAATTTTTTTTAATAATACTTTTAAATTTTCACTGCACTAAACTTGAGTGCACATCTATGGCTCTGACTCACTACTACTGTAATAGTGCCTTGATGATCATGAATTTATAAATTTCATTTATGCCCTATCAAAATCTTCTAATTAGTAAGTCATGTAGTTGTACCTTGATTAATATCAAAATAGATAATGCTCTCTTCATAATGTTTGAAATGCAAAAGTAGATCTTACACAAAACTTGGGTACAGGCTAATAACTATGGGCACGAGTTAGCCTGTACTTATCAAGAACCAGGCATATTTGGCCAGAGCTAGGTAGCAGCCACACTTTTTTCAATCCTATTAATATAAATTAGAAGATTTACATAGAAAATGCTTGTGAAGTCAATATTTTTCTCTACAATGCAATCACCTCGCTATGCTAATAAATTAATTAAATATTAATACACACAACGTAGCACTGATTCATCAATATTTCACCAGTTCATATCATGTACAAAAACATTCAGGAGTAAGTGTACTTGGATTTATTTTGAATAAACAGAACTACAATAAAAATAATAAAGAATAATATTACACATCAAAGTGAGTTTAAAAATTAAAATATGTTGATTAGTGAAAAGTGCCCCAATCAGTTTAACATTATTGGAAGGCTTATTTTGCCTAATTTTGATTCTGATATTAACATAATATGAGCTGATGTTTACATAATGGTTGAAAACTCCTGTAGCAGACGTTGCTGTTCCAAGTTGGTGATGCTTAGATTTTTACGACTGTCACAAACTACAGACCGTACCTGGAAATAATATGTTAATAGTTATAAAATAATAATGTATTATTAATGATATTTATATTACAAATGTATTAAAAACAATATACTAATATGATAATTATATATTAACGGTAATATGTTAATACTGTAATGATAATGTTAATAATACTATATATTAATAATTATTTATATACAGTATAATAATAAATTATATATTATAATATTATAATGAAAACTATACTGCACTGCTTATGTGATAATTATATTAATGATCATAACGATAATTATATATTAATAGCAACACAGTATATTAATAATAATGATAATTATATTATATAATAAATCAAGTGTACCAAAATTGACATAGTAAAATAGAAGATTAAAAATGATTAAAATACAAAATTACAATCACAATTCTACTGATAAAAAGTTAAAAAACTGCCATTTCTC